CTATTTTTTTTTCAAAACCATGTTTAAAACATATGATATATCCAAACATAGCTATGGTTCTGCATGCACATATATATGCCCCTACCAGAACCCACACTGGCCATTTTAGGAATTTCCTTGGACTTTAAAATATAAGGAGAAGTAATTATTCTGAGTGCCATGGCTGCCAGGCTACAGATACAGGAAGATGAAATTATGCATCTACTTCTTTTAGGTTAGGGTGAAGCCAACCCAATTTAGAGTTTCCTTCTCCTTTAGGTTTGGAGATTGAATTGGGTTGGTTTTACAATTCCCATAACCCAAGGCCCCTGGATTTGAGATATGCTAAAGACTTCATGGCAGAGCATCCCTATAACATCAACGTGTCCCTGCTTTCAAAGTAAATTAAGGCATCTCTTTACCTTAATTCAATTTAAATTAAATTAAATCATAATTCAGTTTGGCAGAAGTGAAGGAATCTTTGTGTTTTCCTTTGTGGAAAGTCATTTATGGTAGAGTTCTGGAAGAAATGAAATTCAGAGAAATGCTAAAACAGTTTTTAAGCACGTAAAGGAAATTGCAGAATGCTTAGGATGACATGAAGCATTTGGAATTTGGCAGGTATCTGTGAAGAGAGTAGGCAGGTACGTCATTTGAGGACCTGAGAGAAAGCATGGTGAGGTAAATTAGATGGACAGAAAAGGTCTGCAGGATTTCTGGAGAGAAATGATAGTAGCTCTGTGGAAGGCCTGCACTGTACATGGAAGGGAGCAGAGGTAACCTTGCTGGCTCTGGCCCTCCAGCACCTCCCTTTGGTCCTGTGGTCTTCATCTCACCAAATACTCTTAGGCAAACTCACTGTCTTGCCACTGTTAGTTAATTTTTTAACTCTTACTCTGGAAGAAAATATAATGATAAACAGGATTTTCCTCCCTCCTTTTCAACCCCATCAGCAGTGTTAATATGAGCTTGCATATAGATGGCATATGTTTTTAATCTATTCAAAGTACTGTACTTGATATTTAGTGGCTTAAACTTTTGTCAGACTAGGAGCATGCTACATAATGAAGCAAAGAGCAGATTAATTATGTTTAGCTAAAGTGAAAAGACTACGAGTGGATAAATGGATAGAATTAAGGAAACAAAAATATCAGGTAACAGAGCTACATTTTTTTATTGATGCTGAAATTATCTGTATGATTCATAGGAATATCTGATTTTCCCTCTTACCCTAGGCATTATTTATTTTAGAACTGTAATAATTTTAAAGCGCTATTGTCAGTTCCTGCTCCTGGCTGATTTCTCTCTTGGCATGATTTTCAGAATTTCAACATTCCTTACTGATCTGGATCTTTTTACCGTTAAAAAAAATGTCCAAGTGAATAAAATGCTGTATATTTGAAAAGGGAATTAATCAATTGAGTTTATTTATGTAAGAGTGTTACGTATTACTGAGAAGTAGAACTTATGTAATACAGATGAAAGAACATGACATATATCCAAGGTCCAGTCACAGTTTTATCCCTTTGTGTCTGAGTGGCCTTTAACTAGTTACTTAAATTGTCTCAGTTTACTTATCCACAAACAGGGAAAGTAATACAAGTTTTGCATACATTTCCATATTATTTGAGAGTAAAATGAGAATTAATTTGTATTTTATTTTGAAATTTGGAAACTGATATTCAGATTAAAATAAATATTATACACAGACAAATAAAAGCAATATTTTTTTCTTTTTTTTTTTTAATTTTATTGCATTTTGGGGTACATGTGAAGAGCATGCAAGATTGTTGCATAGGCACACACGTGGCAGTGTGATCTGCTGCTTTCCTCCCCATAACCCACATCTAGCACTTCTTCCCATGCTATCTCTCCCCAACTCCCCTCCCCCCGCTGTCCCTCCCCTATTTCCCCCCAACAGACCCCAGTGTGTAGTGCTCCCCTCCCTGTGTCCATGTGTTCTCATTGTTCAACACCCGCCTATGGGTGAGAACATGCGGGGTTTGATTTTATGCTTTTGTGTCAGTTTGCTGAGAATGATGGTTTCCAGGTTCATCCGTGTCCCTACAAAGGACACGAACTCATCGTTTTTTATGAAAAGCAATATTTTAATTGTAACTTTACCATATATAGCCTATTAAGCCATGGAACTTTAGGATGTTGATGTCTGAGGTGTCAAAATTTGTCATCACTTCTATCCAACTCTTGATACCATACTGAAGATATTGTAACAAAAATGGTATGGAAGTTGACCTTAAGTGTAATTATTCAAGGGGATCTCTTACTAGATACTTCATAGTTCATTCAAGAATATAGGGAGATATTTAGATAACATGGCCTTATCATATTTACAGACTAAGATTCCTTTGAGAATCTCATGAAAGTTAAAGATCTTCTCCTCAGAAAAATATTCATATGCCCATTTAGAAAGCATTTTACAAGGAATTTCAAGTTGTTCATATCAACAGACCATAATTAAGGCCATATTCACCTTAGATTGTTATGCAGAAGGACTTTGATGATATGGCTTTCTCCCTTTCAGAGAGTTTTCCAGACTCTTATGGTCTTCTGTTACAGACCATATTATAGAAGGTTTTTTCCTGCCCAGCTGTGCTTCTACTCATTTCTTGCTTTGGCTATATTTCACCTAAGGTCTGTCTCTTAAGCAAACCCAATTCCATCTCCCCCCACCATTGCCTCTCTTTGGTATTTTTCATCAGTGCTCATTCATAGTGGAAGAAGTAAGGGACAACTGTGACCCAGACTAATAAATGCAAGAAGCAGAGAGTCTGGACAGAAATGGCAGTTACAAGTAGTTCCAGGACTACTAAATTAGGCTGCAGCAAGGCTGAAACAGAGGTAAATAGTCTGAAGAGCTAGCCTGTTAAGATATTCACTTATTCACAATTCTACTAACCCTAAACAGTCAAATATTGGAAATTCTTTGTTACTGCCTTAATTTGTAAACAGCTATTCATTAAGATCTTCTGGAATTTGGCCATTCCGCACCTATAATAATAAAATATTAAAGTGATTTTTAAATTTTAAAGTATGATAACAGTGTAAGAGAGTATCATATTGCATTATAATGTGATAGTATGATGTAATGATAAATCACATGTTGTCATTTCCATTGTATGAAATGTCAGCCAGAAAGACAGACTACAGATATTTTCCTCTAGTGATCCCTCTAACAACTCTGTATTTTTCCAACTTATAGAATTTTAATCCCCAGGTTTTCTACTTTAACACTAACTCCTCACCAATTCATTACTTCATTTAATCTCATTTCACAAATGGCTCTCAAGATTTAGTGTCTTCAGATGCTGTCTTAAATAAATCTGCATATGTTAACAACAACCAGAGCAAAATCCAGGTCAAATATTTTAAAACACAAACATATCCTTAGAATACCAGGAAAGTATGTTCTTATTTTGTACTTCAGCAACAATTGGTCTAGATCTAAAGTGTTACTATTTAGAAAATGAGAATAAGGACACATAATTTCTTCATAAGCCAGATGGATTCACTATTGTGGAATTTTGGGTTTTATTGTTGGTTTAAACTTTTATGTCCTAGTGCCAATGTGATCCAATGAGAATCTATTTGTAAAATAAAATCTAGAAGAAGGTAGCATACTACTTAATAGTTCATGTGAAATATTAAACTAGAGAATTATTTTATGCTTTTAAAAATATTATTGGTATTGCAAGATAAAGTTTTACAGTAATATTATGATGTTGGTAACCAATATTGATTTTAAGATTTTTACATTATATAAGCAGAAAACACAGGACACAAACACTTGAGGTGCAGAAATGTTGCTGAGGCAGCATTAACAGTGAGTTGGATTCCCATTAGGTAATATTCATTGAGACAGTATGTGAATATGCTGGGTTTCAAAAAATTTAAAAGAGAGAGAGAGACATTTTAAATTCAGAATGCTAACAGGCATCCTTTGGTATCATAAGCATGGTGTGCAGTGTTCTTTCTCTGTATGAGCTTTCATCACCATTCAGAATTTTTTTTTTTTTGAAGTGCACTATTATATTTTTGATAGACAATTCATGGAAATTAACAGCAAATGATAGATAAATTGTTGTTCTTTTTTTCAATAAAAGAATTTAGAGGGAGAAAAGACATTTGAAGCCAAAAAAAAAAAAACATTATGAAATACAAGGTTACTATTTCTCTTATTTTAACTGTAATTTTTTAAGCTTTCTTATGTTTATTATGCCAAATTAAGGTCACTAGTGTAGTAGATTTAAACCTTTTTTCATTTCTTTTGATGTTGAAATTTTAGCTTTTAATTTCTTTATCTGGCAGACCACTGATAAATTCATTATCTTTAAGCCAAGCAACTCTTTTTTTGTTATTTTAGAAGCTATTTTGTTTTGTAGAAATAGCATTCTATAAGAAGGAGTTTTTATACAATGTAATACTTTGTCAACATAAAGAAATATCTGAGGAAGCAAAATTATATTGATAGACTTTGAACAAAAAATATCTTTGTGGGCATTTAAAACACCAAGGAATTACAAGGCCATGGTGAAGAATAGTCTAGTTAAATTGGAAAAGTGAAAGCAAGCTATATCTTCCTTTACTGATATGCCGTCTACTGAAAATTAGTAGAAGTTGGTCCTAAGTGGCTAACAGTGAACCTCGAGTACTAACTTTCCTGAAGCACTGAAATAGGAAGTGGTAGAAGAAACTTGTAAAAGGAACCCTCAGGGATTCCCCTGTGATCCCTTTAATCCTTGAATTGTCAAACCACATGGAAAATAATAGAGCTGTGTAGTTCTAGGACTTAAGTGGTATTATCTTTTTAAAGGAAAATATTAGGTCTTTTCACATTTCTGGACAAGAATAGGGTATGTATTCAGTGCAAAAAAAGAGTAACTTTGAACCAGAGATGCATGCTTTTTCATTTTTAATATAATATTGTTATTTCTGACTAAGCAGGCTGCACCCAGTAGGAAAAACAATTATAACCAATATTTTATTTTCCTTTTTTGAAACAGATGATTCAACGAGAAGCAGATGTAAAAAATAAGGTAACTGCTGTGGCATTGACAGACTCTGTTCACAATGTGTGGCATCAAGAAGCTGGCAAAACGATTCGAGAATGGATGAGAGAGGTGAGACTTGTTTTTGTTTTTTTGTTTGTTTGTTTGTTTTGTCTTTTTTTTTTAGTGCTGAGATGAATGGATGTGAGTCTTTTTATCTTGGGCCCCCACCAACCTGTAACACCTCCCATCCTCAAATTCCCTTTCTAGAGGCAGAACATTGAGAGGAAATAGAAAAGGCTAGACATGCTTAAAATAATAATAGAAAACCCGTGTGAAGAACTAATATTTTTGAAAGCCCTCCTCTTTTCTTTTCAGTTTTCTACAGAACAGTATATATGTGTAGTGTTCGATCTACGGTAGGAACTTTGGCTGAAAAAGGTCATGGAGTCAGGAGATTCTTATTCCCTGATGCTTAATTTTTCCACTAGCTACTTAGCATTGGTGCTGCTTAGTTACAAGAAAGAAGCGTAATGTACACTTGGTCTCCTTTTCTTCTTGAAAGGCAGTCAGTATGTGCCACTCTTAAATGGATTGGCTGACTACATCCAGTTGAGGGAAGAGAAGAAAAAAGCTGAAATACTGTTATGCCAGACCCTTGAGCTAAGAGAAACCCAGGGGCTAGCTATGGTTCAGCCTCAGGCTAAGAAAGCTTCTTTTCACGCTTCCTAAGGGCTGGTGAACCTGAAAACTAACAAGGACTCATTGAATATGCTCCCATTATTATTATTATTTTTTTAACTTTCAGCCTGTTTTTTGTTTTTTTTTTTTTTTTGGGTATTCCTCTAGTTACCTTGGGCTGAAATAATATTTTATGATTACCATTTCCTTCTTTTTTATTTTTATTTATTTTTNATCTCCGCTCACTGCAACCTCCGCCTCCTGGGTTCAGGCAATTCTCCTGCCTCAGCCTCCTGAGTAGCTGGGATTACAGGCACGCGCCACCATGCCCAGCTAATGTTTTGTATTTTTAGCAGAGACGGGGTTTCACTGTGTTGACCAGGATGGTCTCGATCTCTTGACCTCGTGATCCACCCACCTCGGCCTCCCAAAGTGCTGGGATTACAGGCGTGAGCCACCGCGCCTGGCTCAGCCTGTTATTTTTTTAATTCCTATTACAGATAGCCGGCTGAAATTTTCTTTTATTTTTATTTATCTTTCTGATATTATAAGCAGTTGGCATCAGCCACCCTGTGCCATGGTAATTGTTTAGTCAAATCATTTACTTATATACTGTGAATGAGCTGATTGACCTTTCTGGTTTTCTTCTAGTTTTTCCTAATAGAATGCCCAGGTGGCTCTTTAGCTGACACCATAGGACTGTGTTATGGGTAACTTCTACCAGCCCTCATGGTACACTGCAAGGACCACAGAGTTAATGTTTGAAGAGATAGAAAAATCAGGCTATATAATTTCATAGTAGCATTATATTATCACCAGTCTGTTATCACTGTTGTTTTTCTGCATTAGAAAAAGTACTTTCATCATGGAAAAGTCTAAAATATTTTTATTGTAGTCCTCCTAATACTATCAACATATAAAGATGGGTTTTTAAAATATTTTCTAACATGCAGGTGTTTGATGACTACATAGAAAGCATTATGTAAGTAGTAAGGTTAATAAATGAGCTATTAGTAACTTTTTTCCCCCACACATAAATAGTATGGAATTTGATACTTGGCTCAAACTAAAAACATCCTTGCTCATGATTTTTTCATTCCAGATGATAAATATAACAATATTTATTTAGGTTTACTTTTTAAGTATTTCTAACTTAGGTTGGATTAGGTGTTCCTTTCAAAAATCAGAATGTATTAATCTGCAGTTTCCATCAAATGAACTGGACAGTAGTTGAATTCATCATAATTTAATCAAGGCTGCCATTAATTTATTTGCAAGCACAGCTTTTGCAAAATTTATAAAATTTTATAAATGCCCTAGTTCTTGGATAGTTCTTTCAGTTCCCTCAAGCCTTAGGGAAGCAGTTTGAAGAGTTTTGTATTTTGACCTACCAAAATTGAAATCCCAGCTCAATTACTTACATAACTTTGTAGTTTTAAGCAAGTTATTTTATCTCTTTGAGATTTGGTTTTCTCATCTGTAAACTGTAATGCCTACCTTGCAAACATTGTTAGAAAATAACATATGTAAAGATATAGCACAGTTCTTGGCACTTGAAAAAAGTTTGGTAAGTTATAGCTGTCACTGTTGTTATAGTCTCACTCCCAAATAATATAAACCACATAAACTGTATTCATCTTTTGTTTTATGAATGGTTTGCATATTCAAAATATCTTACAAAAGGAAAACAGGGTGACATAGTGGAAGTAATTCAGAACAAGCATATGGGAGAACTAAATTTCAATAATGACTCTGGCTAGGTAAATCAATAATTAAGAATCTAGTATGTACCAGCTAGTTTGCTAAGATTTATAATCTTGGATAAACCACTCCATCTTTTTGGGTCTGTTTCATAATTGAATTAGAAACAATAATTCCTATTCCATCTACTTCATGAAATACTGTGAGAATCAAAGGTGATAATCAAGTATGAAAGCTCTTTGAAAAGCAAATGATACTATATAAAGAAATGAGATGTGTTATTATTGAAAACACTATAATATCTCAGAGACTTAAATTATGGATCATTCCTGATGGAGCTTTGAAATTGCCCTTGCTCAGTGATCCTCTCCAAAATGAGAACAAAAAGAGAGGCTGTAAAAGTATACGACAGGTATTCTTGTAGGAACCCACCTAAATATGTGACCTCTTGTAGAGAAGATTACAGTGTGTTTTGGCAAGATAAGAGTCCAGTGTTTCCAAACACTTAGGATGAAACTTCCTCTCCTTTTCTTTCTCCTTTCTTATTTCCTATCCCCTCTGCAAGACTCCTTGAAATAATGAAAAGAAAACAAACCTGGATTACAGGAAAGGGCTGTTGTCTTAAGCATGGGTGTTGGAAAGTTTTTTGTTTTGTAAGTATGTTTAGGTATGTTGAAATTAATGTGATACATGTAAGTGGCCAACAAACATATGAAAAAATGCTCAACACATCACTAATCATCAGAGAAATGCAAATTAAAACCACAATGAGATACCATCTCACAGCAGTCATAATGGCTACTATTTAAAAAAGCGAAAAACAACAGATGTTGGCAAGGATACAGAGAAAAGGGGATGCATATACACTGTTGGTGGGAATGTAAATTAGTACAGCCTCTGTGGAAAACAGTGTGGAGATTTCTCAAAGAGCTAAAGATAGAACTACTATTTGATCCAGCAGTATCACTACTGGGTATCTACCCAAAGCAAAAGAAGTCTTTTACCAAGAAGACATCTACACTGGTATGTTTATTGCAGCTCTATTCATGATAGCAAAGTCTTGGAATCAACTAAGCATCCATCAAAGGATGACTGGATAAAGAAAATGGGGTGCATATCTATATATATTTATATAGATATATACAGATATCTACTATGGAATACTGCTTGGCCATAAAAATGAATGAAATCATATCTTGCAGCAACAAGGATGGAGCTGGAGGCCACTATCTTAAGTGAAGTCACTCTGAAACAGAAAGTAAAATACCACATGTTCTCACTTATAAGTGGGAGCTATACAATGGGTACATATGGACATACAAAGTAGAATAATAGACACTGGAGACTCCAAAAGGTGGCAGGTGGAAGATGAAGGATGAGAACTTACCTATTGGGTATGATGTATACTATTTGGGGTGACAGTTAAACTAAAAGCCCAGACTTTACCACTATGTAGTATATCCATGTAACAAAAATACACTTGAAACCCCTAAATCTATAAAAATAAAAAACGTAATATGATAAAGTTATTGATGTTATATATTCATTTTATAAAAAGCTAATTTTTTAAACCTACCAATTTAGCATACAGAACAAAGGTTAAGGAACATATTATTGTATTACTTGTATAATTTCTAAACTTTAATAAAAATTTCCTTTAAAGAAAAAAGGTCAGGTCGGGTGCAGTGGCTCATGCCTGTAATCCCAGCACTTTGGGAGGCCGAGGCGGGTGGATCACCTGAGATCAAGAGTTCAAAACAAGCCTGACCAACATGGTGAAACCTCGTCTCTACTAAAAATATACAAATTAGCCAAGCAGTGGTGGTGGGTGCCTATAATCCCAGCTACTCCGGAGGCTAAGGCAGGAGAATCGCTTGAACCCAGGAGGCAGAGATTGCAGTGAGCTGAGATCATAACACTACACTCCAGCCTGGGCAACAGAGCAAAAGCTCCATCAGAAAGAAAGAGAGAGAGAGAGAGAGAGAGAGAGAGAGTGTACTACTTTGAGCAATTACTCCAAGTGAAACCTATTCTGAACTAAAAGACCATGCATAGATGCTAAGCCAGCCTCTTGAGGAGAGGTAAAGGGTAACTGAAGGCAGCTCCTGAGGTGCTTCTTACTTCAAGCCCTAGGACTGTCCAGGCTGAGTGGGCAGATGTTTCCCAGCATCCCGCTGGCCTCTGAAATTCTCCAGCCACACCAGATGTATGGTTCTACATAATAGTTGTGAACCCTTTCCATCACCATTCAGCTCTGAGTGTGGGGCTCTAGAAACATGACCTAGTGAACCATAGCTATATTGGTCCAAGGGCACAAAACCTTTCACATTAAAAATCAACCTTTAAAGCAATGGTGATTTACAACTCAGACAAACATAATAAAAGTGAATAATAATATGGCCTCAACCAAGGCGATAAGCATCTCCAAATACCTCCAAATGCCTTGTACAAGAGTAGCCACTACCTACTTTTCTCTTTAAATATAATATGCTAAATTATAATCTTTTTATTTAACAAAACTAATTGATTTCACCGCTACTCTGAAATATTGCTGACCCTTGGTTCAAATGTCAAAGGGAGTCACTCAGCACTGTGGCCTGTAGGCATTTCTAATCCACATCAATAGTTCCCTAAATTTTGGATTTTACAAAAAGGAACATTTACAACCACAAAAATCTATAGGATCATCATTTTAGGATGAAAAAAAAATGTTTAAACTGAAAACACTTAGCTTTAAGAAACACTTGGTACATTACCTATTTTTCTCTTTTTTCTTCAGACCCAGAGAAACATTAATGAGATCTATCCTCATCTGGCTGCCCTGAACAAGCACTTCTTTCTCTGTGCTTGTTTGTTGGGACTAGGGGAGGCTGCATCTGAGACTCAAGCATGGTACTATTGGTACCTCTAGTTCAACATGCCTTATTGCCTACTCAGGGGACCTGAGAATAAATATCAGGGGCTGCTAACCCACTCCTGCATATTTTGAATTTAGATAGGGCTGCCTGCATCACCACCCAGAACACTTTGGTAGTGTTCATCTCAACTAAAAATTGGGATGGGAACAAACTGGGGAATTGATAAAAGGGATATGTAAGTGTCAGGAAAGCAGCAGAAGAGACTTGGCTTCTAAACTGTAGAAACACATCTCAGAATAGGGAGTTAGATTTGATAAAATAGAATTTCAGACAGATTGAATTTAGACATAATAGCTGCATTTCTTTGCATATGTTTATTTAATTTCATTATACTCTATGATATAGTAAACATTTAACTTGTTTTGCCCTTTTTTCTATATAATTTTCCCAATGGGGTAAAAATGTCACATGCCGCTGCGAGTGTGCACACACGCACACACACACACACACACACACTCTGAAATGACCATATCAAAATTTGTATAGTTCTACACAGGTACTTTGTCATTCCAGAGAACTTTTTGACATACTTTAACTATAGAGTGTTTAACTTCTGTCCAATTTTTATGAGAGATCAAAGCCTTAAACCTATGCCTAGATAAAAACTGAAATTTCACAAACATAAAATGTTAACCTATATTTTGCTTTAAGTGTCTGAGTTAAAGGTGATCTGAGCAAACTGGACAAAAGTTCATTTTGTTTAGCTTTTTAAAGTAACAATTCAGAAAATGATTAATTGTCTGCATATTGTAATGTGCCATCACTTGTATTAATACTAGAAAATCCTGTAAGACATAGTTTTACATATATGAAATGTAGGTGAGCAGTAGGAAGACCGACATATCACCTGGTTAATAGCTGACTTTTATCAGATTTGGAGGTACTAGTTGGGTGAATAATAATTAAAATACATACAGTACCTAATCGCTGCCTGTCTGTCGGTAGTGCTAATTGCTGTCATTGAAAAGACTGAATTGTTTAAAAAAAAGAGAGAGAAAGAGAAAGTCATTCTTCATTGAAGCTATCTCTCTGTATCATTGGGAGCCTATTTTTAGTACCTATAGAAGTCATGATTTTTGAATTTATTAGGGGCTGTGATGAATGATAAAACAAATCATCCATTTACATATCTTGACACTGCTTTGGAGAATACTTATTTCTTACAAGCAAGTGTCACATTGTATATAAAAGCTGGCTAATTGTGTGCTAATCTTCTGCATTATCTAGAACTCTCTGATGTGGTGTTCTATCAATGGTAATATTAATTTTACTTATTTCAAATGTATGAAATATCTTCTAAAACCCTGTTCCTTTTATAATTTCTACTCTTACATTGTATCATTTTGCATTCAACTGCTAATTAAGATTAGGAGAGCACATTATAGAATATGTATCCATTTTAAACCATCAAGCTTTTGTAATGCATGAAAAATACTAATATTTTATCTATTTTAAATGTAAAAAGATAGAAAGCATTTAAGAACATTACTAGATGTTATGTTTGTTTTCATGTTTTTTTTCCTACACAGTTCAATAGTTTCATTGATCTACTGTTTCTTACAAAAATCTGCCATGCTTTGTGAACTTCACTTTCTAATCTCATACAGCAACCCTTCCTTTATGTTATTCCTGCTCTCCCTGGTCCCAGAACAGTAGGGTTGCCTTGACAAATCTATTCAAAAGCCATTCCTCGGCCTTTATTGGTGGGGACTGGGGCCTTTGAAATTCTCTCCTCACTGCAACACAGCTGACATCTTCTTCCAGACAGAATGAATTAAGGAAATACAATAAGACACTTGATCTACCAGTCAAGGATCTTTCCACAGTGAGGACGGATTCCATGGTGCACAACCAGGGCAGCAAGCATCTAAAAATACACAATACATGCTTGTTTATCAGAATAGCAATCACCGATTTTTCCAAAATGATTGATGGGATGATTTCTTTTAAAATAAAATCTGTCTGGAAATTCATTGTGTGTGTGTGTGTGTGTGTGTGTGTGTGCGCGCACATGTTGAGAAATTGTTTAAAAACCATATGAGGATAATCACATATTTTTAGCCTGACTTCAAATACCGTCTTAAAATGTATAGAAGGGATATTGATTATTTTACTTATCTGAATTGTAAATTATCGTTACTTTACATCGTTACTATTAAAAATTACCTAATTTTTAATATTGAAGGCTTTGTGTCCATAGACACACAGCTACAACTCACCAGATGGTGATTCTTTATAACTATTTTGATATAGGCTTCATTAAAGCAAGCCAAAGTGAAAATTAAAAGATAGTATTCTTATGTGGGTCAGATTTTGAGGAGTAAATGCAAAATCAGTTTATTACACAAAGAATATAGTTTAAAAAGTGGTTATTCTTTCTTATGTTAATATTTTATCTAAAAGTTAAAAATGGATACTTTTTTTCATTTTCTCTTAATTATAATCTCTTTATTTGTTTACTTGTTGACCATCTAAACTTCTCTTGGAAATATATTGCGACATGGTTCATGGAAGGTTACATGTCATTTTTCTTTTAAGATGGGATCTCCCTCTGTCACCTAGGCTGGAGTGCAGTGGCACGATAGCTCACTACAACCTCCTCCACCCGGGTTCAAGCCATTCTCCTGCCTCAGCCTCCCAAGTCCCTGGGACTACAGGCATGCGTCACCACACCCAGCTAATTTTTGTATTTTTAGTAGAGAAGGGGTTGTTGGCCAGGCTGGTCTTGAACTCCTGACCTCAAATGATCCGCCTGCCTCATCCTCCCAAAGTGCTGGGATTACAGGTGCAAGCCACTGCTCCCAGCCCTTACATGTCATCTTAGTATCAGTACAGATGATTGCTGACTTATAAAACAAACAAAAACTTCTTCACAGTCATGTTAATTATGAATAATTACTGTTTACATAAGAAAAAAATGTTAAGTGTTTGGAAAATAAATTGAATACATTCTAGTGGTTGATTTTATAGAATAAATTAATCTCTTTCTACAAATTTGGTCTTGGCTTAAATTATATTTCAACAATATTGTCTCTATTACATTGCAGAACTGTTGTAATTGGGTCTCTAGCTCTGAACCATTAGATACATCAGTGGAGTCCATGCTACCTGATTGCCCCCGGGTTTCAGCAGGTATGTGTTTGATGAGAGATACATGATTGCTGTTGTTTTTCAAGGTGAAAAATATGTTAATGAAATGTAGAATTCTATTTTATGAATTAGTTTACTTTTATCCTTGAGTTGTTGGATGAATTACTGGTAATGTTATGCCTGGGTCTAATCCACCACCACAAATTTTTTAAGTAGCTTAAAATGCTTACCAACAAACTCAGTAAGATGTATAGGTGAACTAATTCAAGAGTAGCATAGACAACTGCTGTTGAAGCTTAGGGAGATAAGGAATATGTACATGAATACCTAAACAAGGATTGGGCAGACATACAGAATTTTCAGAGGATATATGTTTCTGATTGAGTTCCAACTCAGTGATATGACAGGCAGTCAAAGATGTTGTGTGTCCTAGAGACTTTAGGAAAAAAAAAATTTCATGCAAAGATTTTAGTTGGTTCTTGTGTTAGACTCTGGACTGTACGAAAACATACAAGATGGCATCCTAGGCAAAGGAGACAGCAATTAAAGGAACAACAGCAGGAATGGATCTAAAATGTTCACAGGGAACAAAGGCAAGACTGCCTTGCCTATTGAAAGGGAGGAGGTGAAGAGGTGAGCACCTCAGGAGTATTTGGGCTATCTAGGAAGTTTAAGGATAGCACTGACTTCCAGCCCAGAGGCTTTGTATTTGAGCATTAAGTAAGAAGAGAGAGTGACATGTGTGAGCTTTCTGGTTTTGGCTTTCACAGTTCTCAATAAAGTAAGCAGTGGCATTTCGTTATAACTGATAACAGAACTATGAGCTTACTCTGGCCGTGGGTATTGGAGAATGGGTAAAAGTTTGGAACACAAACTACTTTATGTTAGCAATCGTACGTGACAGCTAATCACTGAGTACTTAAAGTTGAAAATATGTTTGAAGGAAATAATTTGGAGAATAGTTCAGATTCTAGGTCCAAAACTATTGTTATAACTAAACATCACTATCATTAATACCTAAATTTCAACTGAGCTTCACTATCATTATAGCTGAATTTTCTAAGTCTATAAGCCAGGGTACAACCACAGAGACAGAACCACTAGACAATGTATATGCTACTATACACACACAGACAGACAGACATATATACACACATATACTCAGACACATATGTATATATATATGTGTGTTCTTATATATGGTACAATCGCTTTTCATTATTTATGCTAGTTATATTCTATGACGTCACTAACAGCACTGAATTAGCAAGTAATCATTGCTCTTAGATGAAATACAAGGCCAGGTTCCTGTGAGCTTCTGGTCACATTTTTGTCAACCAATCAATATGTAAACTTGGTTTATGTGTGTTCTGTTTAATGACACACTATTTAATATATATTGTTGATTCATTAACATTGAGCTCATGGCCAGCAGTACTGTAACTAGTGCCTGAATGAAGCTTATCTAACACATATTTTCTCCGTAAGGCATATCACAGCCTTCTTGTGCTTAGCAACACTACACAGCACGTCAGTAATACATGTGGGGGCTATTGTAAACAGTGAAACCCAAAAAAGGCACAAAGGTAGAAAAATGTGGTGCTAAATATTAAAAGGACACTTGTTTATAATGTAAGATCTGAAACAAGAAGGCAGAGCATGACCTTGTTCAACCTTAATTAAGAATGGATGACTCAAATTTTTCTCCACCCTGCACATGTGCATTTTACAAATAACTGCAAAAGGCGCTTGAGTATGGATTTTGGGGTTACAAATAAATTTTAGTGAGTAGATGAATTTGCAAATTTAGAATCCACAAATAATGAAGACAAACTGCATATAGGAAAGGATTTTTCACTGAGATTTTACCTGAAACTGGTTAAGCAATCTCTGTAAGGATGTTGACCTTATATCTGTTGGAGGATCTTGAATTTACAGAGCAGGGAGTTGGTAAGGGAAGATAAATGTAAAGCGGCAGAGAGCAACAATGAGCTAGAACCCATAAGCAAGAGCCAGAGTCCAGGCAGATAAGCTTAAACCCACATCAGTTGTTTTTTCTTTTTTTTTTTTTTCCCCAGAGTCTGGCTTTATTGCCCAGGCTAGAGTGCAGTGGTGCAATCTTAGCTCACTGCAGCTTTTATCTCCAGGGCTCAAACAATCCTCCCACCTCAGCCTCCCAAGTAGGTAGGACTACAGGCACACACCACCATGCTCCACTAATTTTTTTTTTGGTTTTAGTACAGATGAGGCCTCACTGTATTGCCCAGGCTGGTCTTGAACGCTTTAGCTCAAGCAGTCCTCCGATCTTGGCCTCGCAAATTGCTGAGATTACAGGCATGAGCCACCACAACCAGCCCATATCAGTTCTTGTTGCTTTTGTCTTTGGTGGTGCAGATGTTCTGTAGAAGCCCTGTGCCCTTTGTCATGGAGCTAAACACATGCACTAGCTCCTGGAGTTAGAGATGCTGAAGGAGAATTCATGGGAAGGGGGAGCAGATGCAGCCCTAGCTATTGCCTCACAACACAAGGCAAGCCAGCAGATAAGTGACAACATGTGTGAACTAGAAATAGCTGCTGCTTCACTTTACCCCTCCATATTTTCCACCAAAAAAAATCTCCTTTGTGTACCATCCTAACCAGAAACAGACAGGAAAGGAATTCTGGGAAATGTAGTTCAACCTAACCAAATTGACACATTCAAAAGCCACCACAGTCCACCTTTTGCCAAGTTGGCACTTCATGTACATCTCCTCAAAATAGACTTATTTTCCAAATAAAGGCATTAATATTAAGAAAATTATTCTTCCACTAAAAATGATACAGCCATTGAAATGTACAATAGATAACACACTACAATCGAAAACATACTAACCCCTTCCCTAGAAGAGGGAACAAAATCCCTTTATTGTCCTTTGCTGATATTCATTCTTCTCACCCTTGGTACCCTGTAATTTAAATATCAGAAATAAAAGTTAATTACTTTTGACAGTGCATTATATTAGATGGTAAGGGAGTAAGAGAACATGAAAACAAAAATATTTTGCTTATATGCATATACAAAAATATTCATATCAAAATAAATACTACTACATGCTTTATTTGTACAACCAATTATGTACTTATAGCTGGTATTTATAACTACCTTTTTCTGCTACCCATTTAGTACAGATATACCTCAAATATATTGGGAGATCCATTTACAACTGCAATAAAGCAAATATTTGATGGCATCTAAAATGGTGAATCCTTTCCAGAAGGATTTCAAGTAACTTTGCCCCAGATTCATCAGAGGAATCACTATCTCTGGCATCTATAACCTTACAAAATGTATGTCTTAAAATGAGACTTAAAAGTTGAAACTAGTCTTTGTTCCATGACTTACAGAATGGATGTTGTGTTAGCAGTCATGAAAACAACATGAATCTCCTTGGGTATCATCAGAGCTCTTTGAAGACCAGGTCTGTTGTCATGGAGCAGTAATTGAAATGAATCTTTTCTGAGCAGTAGGTCTTAATGTCAGGCGTAAAATCTTCAGTGAACCATGCTATAAACAGATGTGCTGTCATCCGGGCTTTGTTGTGCCACTTATAGAGAGCATAGGTACAGGAGATTTAGCATAATTCTTAAAGGCCCTAGGGCTTTTGGAATGGTAAATGAGCATTAGCTTCAACTTAAATCATCAGTTTCATTATCCCATAACAAGAGAATCAGCCTGTCCCTTGAAGCTTTGAAGCCAAACATTGTCTTCTCCTCTCTAGCTATGAAAGTCCTAGATGGCCATCATCTTCTTCCAGTAGAAAGCTGTTTTGTCTACATTGAAAATTTGTTGTTTCATGTAACTACACTCATCAATGGTCTCAGCTAGATCTTCTGGATAACGCTGCAGCTTCTACATCAGCACTTGTTGCATCACCTTGCACTTCTATGTCACAGAATGGCTTCCTTCCTTCCTTCCTTAAATCTCATGAACCAACCTCTGCCAGCTTCCAACTTTTCTGCTGCATCTTCCTCACCTCTCAGCCTTCATAGAATTGAAGGGAATTAGGACCTTGCTCTGTTTTAGGATTTGGCTTAAGGGAATGTTGTGGCTGGTTTGATAGCCTAACCAGACCACTCAAACTTTCTCCAGATCAACGATGAAGCTGTTTAGCTTTCTTATCATTCATATGTTCACTAGAGTAGCACTTTTAATTTCCTCAAGAACTTTTCTTTTGTATTCACTACTTGGCTAACTGTTTAGGGCCTAAATTTCAGCCCATCTTGGCTTTTGACATGCATGACATCCTAAGCTGAATCATTTTTAGCTCTTGATTTAAAGTGAGAGATAGGCAACTCTTCCTTTCATCTGAATTCTTGAAGGCCATTGTAGAGTTATTCATTGGCCTCATTTCAATATTGTTGTGTTTTAAGGAACAGGGAGGCCTCAGGAGAGGGATAGGGACCCGAAAACTGCTCAGTTGGTAGAGCAGTCAGAACACCTTTATCAATTAAGTTCATTGTCTTCTATGGGTGCAGTTTGTGGCACCTCAAAACAATTACAATAGTAACATCAAAGATGTCTGATCAAGGCTGGATGTGGTGGTTCATACCTGTAATCCCAGTATTTTGGGATGCCAAGGTGAGAGGATTTCTCAGAGCCAGGAGTTTGATACAAGCCCAGCTACAAAGCAAGACCCTGTCTCTACAAAAAAAAAAAAAAAAAAAAAAAAAAAATTTACATTAGCCAGGCATGATGTTGCAAACCCACAGTCCTGGCTACTCAGCAGGCTGAGCAAGAGGATCACTTGAGCCTAAGAGTTCAAAGCTACAGTAAGCCAGTGAGTTATGATTGTACTACTATACTCCAACCTGGAAGACAGAACAAGACCCTGTCTCTTAAAAAAAAAAGAAAGAAAGAGAGAAATCGCTAATCACAGATCACCATAATTTATGATAATAATGGAAAAGTTTATTGGCACAGAGAGGCACAAAGTGAGCACGTGCTGTTGGAAAAATGGTGCTGATAGACTTGCTTGATAGCAGTGTTGCCAGAAAACTTGAAT